CGGTGCGCCCTCATAATATAACGTCAACTGGACGTGCGCAGTGGCGATTTTGCAACTTGGCAACACTGTTTTTCCGCCTTTAAAATCCATTATATACATAGATATTGGGTGAGGCAATCTGCCTCACCAAGAATCGATTGTTTTGCATATATTTAAATGGAGGGAAAACAATTTTGTCAACGTACAAGAATCGCCACTGGATGTGGGCGTCAGAGTTATCGCCCCAGACGTCGAGATAAAAATCAGTTATGGTTTACTTCATCGGCACAATAAGCTACGCTGGAATTATTTCAAGGTGTAAGAGAAACAATCGGAGCCTCAGTTAGCGTTGCATACGAAGGAGACCAAACGAATCACAGTATAAAGCGCGGATGTAACTATTCGGGCTCCAGGGATGTCCGTATTGCATATACGCACTGATGTAAGGCGTTTTGACTTTAGAGACTCTAACCGCTTCACCAGCAGCGCTCAGTAGAGCGAGTCGATGAAATGAAAGGAGTTTGACAAAATTTGGAAACATTAAAAGCTCGCATCGATATTAATACGAAACGTAGCGGTTTTAGAAGTGGTTTCATTGATTTTCTCGTAAAAGTTCCTTCCAGTGGCACCCCATATGATTTAGGTATAGTATGAAGAAATTAATATCCTTTGAAATTGTATTCGTGAATTTAATGTCAAACTTCTCCGATAGGCTCTTTTCATTGGACGGCGGGCTTAATACTCGTCCGAGAATTTAAAATGTCAGCAAGACATCTCTTTAGCTGCACTACAGGGCTGGATTAAGGGGGTGGCCACATGGGCCGCGGCCCATGGCGGCAATAAATTTAGAGGGCGGCAAATTTTGCAATCTTTATGAATGTAGGTATCAAAACAGAGAGAAAACAATCCGACGGTGAAACTACCAAACCACGTAGGTATCTCGGTTTGCGACGTCGCAGACTTCCTGTCATGCTTTATTTTTTAAATAGAAAACTACTCAACGTCAATTCGTGAAAACTTCCGTGATTTTTCCTCTTTGTGCGGAGAAAAATCTGTGAAAATTGTAAGGAATGATATTGATTTGATCTCCTTCAAAAAAATAAAATGTGAGTGGAGATTTTTAAACACCGCAAACGAGATAAGAGGTCTGGTAGTTTCACCGTCGAATCGGATTCAGAAAATAAATTACAAACGAGAAAATACGACAAAATCTCTCATTTCCTGAGAGTCAAAGTAGGTATAGTAATTTCTAATTTTGTCGTCTTTCGGTGATACAAGAGGCAACACCTTTCATTATTCGAGTTAAAACACGCAATTTGACATGGAACGGAGCGTCGCGGCGGTCGGCATGAAACACATAGCGCCCACAAGACTGCATGGATACTTTACGCATTGCGTCAAACAAACTGCGGTCAGCAGCAGTCGGTTTGAAACGCATAGCGCCTACAAGACTACATGAATACTTCACGCATTGCGCCAAACAGTGTGGTAACTTGGTCAGCAGCGGTCGGCGTGAAACGCATGGCGCCTACAAGACTGCATGAATACCACACGCATTGCCCCAATACAGAGCGGTCGGCGCGGCGCGGCGGTGGGAGTTAAAATTTTTAACTACATTTATATTTGTTCTTTCATAATTTTTTAGTTCTTATTTATAAATGGAAGGCCTTGTCCAAACAGGGATGGGTTTACGGAACTGAACTGTTGTTAGTGTTGACAGGGCTTTTACAAAAAATGTGCCCAATTAACACGAGTAGACGCGTCTTATACACCCCTCCCCCGCCGGCACGTTCACCTGTTGGTTTTTATAGATCGTATTCGACAGATCACACAGGTGAGATAATATTGATATCGACTGGTTCAATATGTAACCACAGCCTCAAAAGTCAATTTAGAAATCTGAGGTATAACGGGTCTTATGTGATCGAATTTTTATTCTCTTGAGTACCAAATGGCTATGAAAAATGAAATTGTTAGGAATTTTCTCATTTCCAGCTTTTCCAAATTAAATCCTAAAATATTTTTTTTTTAGGTTATTTCTATTGTTTTGAACCAAATGATACATCGAACCACTGTCGAATACGATCTATTGATGTTTCAAATCAAATGAGGAGGGGGCGGAAAAATACAGGCGGCCCATGGACGGCATGTAGGTAAATCCGGCCCTGCTGTACAAATCATGCTCAGCACGCAGCGGTATCAAAACTGAAGCACATGAGATAGGGATACTCACATTCTACGCCTGCAGGCAACTTTTCGTGCCTAGGAGATCATAGTGGAACTGGTGTCTAGGTAGAGAACATAAAAGTATAATGATAAGCGAGCTTTGTGGCGATTAGGTGTCGCAAAGCGCCAAAGAGCGCTGTAACAGCGACTCGTATGTATGTATGTAAGCGACAGAGAAAGGACTAATACCGAGAGAAATGAAGAATATCGCAAACCCGATGTAAAATACTTTAAGAACAATTTCATTTTTTATGAATCAGAATAAAGTTACCATTGTGATTATTAGTAAATATAAATTGAGTACATTGAAAATAAGATTGTTTACAGATATTGATCTTTATGGTATAAATTAAGGATTTAAAGCGCTCTGTCATTTTGGATCCTCGTCGTGAAACTCGCCGTTTGGTGCTCCGCGCCGCAAGTGACGTGGTGTGTGCCTGGACAGTCAAAACGCCTTCCCTTCCGTGTTTATGCAACACGGACATCCAAGGAGCCCGAATAGTTGCATCTAGGAGTTAAGATATGGGTGTTCACTTGTTCATCGCGCTCAACAGTCGCGCTGGTTTATTTTAAATTTCTCTAGAAAAATTATCCATTTTCTAGATACAATCCTACCTTGAGAACAGTAAAACTGTGGGATCAAAACTGCAACGGAAAACCGACAAGTCTAGTGTGGAGGCTACCTCAATACTAAATATTCCATCGAATTATGCTAAGGCGCAACGATACAACTATTCGTGCTCTACGGAACGCGTGAGGTATCACGCCACAATTGAAGGCGTTTTCAAAACGTTATCGGTTCAAAACAATATCGCGATCCTCGTCTCGCATAAAATTCGAAGCATGCAAGATAAATGAAATGACTGATCTTACGAGCTAGTACAATGTTATTTGCACATTCCCTTGTTAAAAATGTTTGTTTATACAAATAGCTTTCGTTCCAGTTGATAATGAGCGTGTATTTTTCTCATGTGTTTCCGTTCTATTTGAGCTTTTTACACGCATTTTTTTGCGGTACTTTCTTGTATTTTATTGTTGATTTAAGTTCCTATGATTTACGTAGCTTTCTTAACGCTTTTTTATTTTAAAATTCTCTTAAATAATCATCAATTTGCTAAATACAATCCTAACTTGAGAACACTAAAACTGTGGGATCAACACTGCAACGGAAAACCGACAAGTCTAGCGTGCAGTTGACACTGATTTGATTAAGTGAATTAATTAAGGGCGCTTTGCTTGCCTCTCTAGCACCGTAACTTAATCTCAGCGTTCCTATTTATGAATGAAGTAAACTACACTACCGTTTTTTTTTTCGCGACACAGTCCATTATGTTGCAATTGGACTGCATTTTGCAATTTGAAACTATAGATTCTGGCCTGGCTTAAAAACAACGTATGTGCCATTAGTTTCCCTATGCACATAAGTGTTTTTTTCAGATGAGCCAGAATCTATAGTTCCAAATTGCAAAATGCAGTCCAATTAATCGTTGCACACTACAGTGTTAAGACATTTTAGTACTTACTTAGGTATACCAACAGAATTTGGCGGGAATTTTGCGCAACGTGGCGTCTTAGCGAAGTGTTCCACTGAGTTTCATGCCTTTGATGAAGCTCGGTATGTTGAGATTTGTCTCCCAAAGACGCGCGTAGGTATGGGAATTTTTAAAATTTCAACCTGAGAAAGTTAAAAACGCGCTATAAATTATAAAGTCGATGCAACTAGCCGGAAGCTTCAGCTATTTGCCAAACGTACCTATAGATTGTTTTCAGGTGCTGATCTGACTTACACGTCGACCATGATTTTTGACACGTGGGAAGTTCGTTTTTCCCTCTTAAGAAGTGTCTAAACCACGAATGTTGAATTATCACTCATGAGTTCGTCGCCTTCCCGACATGATGTAATAACAACACATCCCGATGAACTCTGTCGCTCATATAACTCAATGCTTTTCGGGGCTCATCTCTAAGTGTGGTTACGTCCTTTAAGTCAGTCAAGCGACAAGTAAAGTTTGGAAGTTTTCCATATGTTAAGCGGGAAATTTTGTTGAAACAACATGTTTTTAAGAGGTCTAAATGTTTCCTTGCCCTATCTCATGGTCCATCGAAATCCAAAATACGGACATGTTTTTTTTGTTTTTTTTCGAAAAAAGATAAGAAGAAAACAATAAGGGGTGCAGAATCATTTTTGAGGTAAGTTATCAATGATTTCAACAAAACTAGTAATACTGAAAATACATTATGTGAAAAATTCTTCTGCCAGAAGGCTCCATGTACTTGAAACTTTAAACGTGTACTTATTTCTTCAAATAGTAAAGATTGCACTTATCCTCCTTGCCTTCAAAGCCCCTGAAGTAAAATTGATGTTTCAAAAAGTGGCCAATCGAAGTTAAATGAGGGTCTAAATTTCTTCATGCCATGGTTTTTGACTAGTGATTCTTGTTATCAGGAATTTTGGGAGCAACTTTTCCAGCAAGTTGGTGATTATTGGAGTTAAAAAATCTTGTCATGTGGAAGTGCTGTGTTTGTAATGTTTTGAATTTCTCTACGAACTCCCCATAACATTGCTTTCTGGTGAGCTGAAGTGGTGATTTTGTAAGATCTATTGTAGCCTCTTTGGGCATTTTACATACCTACCTTGTCTANAAAAAAAAAAAAAAAAAAAAAAAAAAAAAAAAAAAAGTTGAGACAGAAAAATGGATTTTTAACTTGCAATTAGCTAAATATCACTGGGTACCTATCTAACGTTTGATCTTGAAGATGATGGTGGGAACTGATTTAAAAGCAAAAACACAAAATTTGAGAGAAAATCATACTTTAATGATTCAATCATTTCCTATGAGGCTAGAAAAAAAAGAACATTCTTTACACTCACAATTGAATATAAAATTTACCCAGCTAAAACAATCATAAAGGTTTTTTTTCTGTTTAAAACTAAAAATAGATTCCTCATTTGATAATAACATTTCTATTTGCAAAGAGTGCATTTTATTTTCATGAGAAGGATGGACCATTTTGAGATGGTACAGACTTTTCCAATAAAAAAAGATACTGTTAGACAAAATCAGAGGCAAAAAGTTTTTTCGGCAGTAAATGAGAAGACTACGTGCTTATTAAATTCTTATTATAAAAAAAAGTCTTTTGTAGTAATAATTGAGAATCTAATCATAAGTGCCTTCAGAGGGTCAGTTTGACTGTCAGTACAAGATCAAATTTTCATATTTTTGCTCTTGAAAAACGTAATGACCACAAGAAGTCAGCGTATAATTTATCTATATTGAAAAATATATTGACATTAATGTAATAAATAAATAAATAGATAAATAAATAAGTATTTTGCTGATAAAAATTAAAGACAAATAGATGAAATCAAAGGCTGAAAAATGCATGAATATAAAAGGAACAAATTATTTGAAACTTTAATTACGGCGAGAAATGCATAATAATTATGGATTTTTTCAGTGAAAATGATCTGTCCAATGTACATTTTGAAAGATATTATACAGAATGATTTAGATATTTTTGGAAAAATGGGGAGGAGGAAAGTTAGATACAAGGAAAATACACTTGATTGAAGAAGAAAATAACTTATCACAGTCTTGCAAATTCTCTAATCCTCTCGAAGTCAAAAAAGTTTTAAGCTGCTGAATTGTTTCTCCTTTCTACTTACTGAGTCGTCAATTCAGGCCGAAATTTTGGTTCGTTTTTTCAGCAGGAAGAGATAAATACATAGAGAAAGATTCCTTGCTACGATGAACCACTTGACCAGACTAGTAACTTTCAAATGCGACAACTTGCAAATTTTTGACGATGAGAGGGTTAGCACAGGGAAAACTTTTGGAGCAAAAAAAACAAAATGAGAAAAACACACTCACAAACACTGAAATTTTGTACTGATTTTAGAAGTATTGTGAAAAGTCCGATGTTATTGATGAATTACATTAGCATTGAAAATTTACTTCAAACTTAATCTATCTATCAATAATCCCATAAAATAATGTCATGCTAGCATATTTAGTGAGGCTTTCAAAGAAACGCTCATGTCTTCTATTTTATCTCTTAAAATATGCACTGTTTCACACTTCGAAGAAAAAGCTTAAAAAGAGAGAGGAAAAAAAATACAGAGAATACTTCAATGAAACTAGAGATTAAAAGTTAAAATACTGAAAGGGAAATCATACTTTTCTCGGACTCTCGTACATTTAAATAATTCACGGTGAGAGACAAACTTGGAAAGGTGTGCATACAAAAATACATGCAATTATGAGCCAATGATGGATGACGTTGGAGGATAGGAACTCGTAAGTAGGTTCTTCATAGACGATAGTGAAAGGATATTTATAAATGAACATGAGACCAGTCGTCAAATTGACCTACATGGATTAGAGGTACAAAATGAGAGGAGGTAAAAACGAAATTTCTCGCAACGGTTGGTTTCAAGAGAATCGACACGTTTGTGCATAGAGGGGAGGGGAGATAATTAGAAGTTTTTAGACGAAGGGGAATTTTAATATTTTCAGAAAAAAAGAAAAAACAGTGAAAGGAAATTATGCTTTTCTACTCATTTCAACTGGGTGTAGCACTCATGGATTGGGCGGTAAAAACTTAGACTAGTGTATGTTTGGGATACGAATTGCTATTCATAAAATCCTTATTTTCTGACCTCTCGTAATTCTGAGAGCTGAGGTGATTGAAAACATTGAGTCAATTTTCAAGATGGTGAATATGTACAAAAAATTTGCTTGTACCAAGCTTTGGAGTTAAAAATACAAATGTAGCATTGACTACACAATTACACCCTTACGTGTCTAAGATTCTCAAGATTGAGAAAAGAGCACGCAAAATAGTTATAAAAGGCTAGAGGACACATTAATAGAAAATGTGCGAGTAGTGCTATAGCGGGCGGAAAGGGGGGAGGGGGTTTCAATTTTTTGACCTCAAAATGTCAATTAAAGGTCAACACTTTTAAAATTAATAAATCAAAGATAATCCTAGTGCATCATTCAGAATCTGCGGTTATTTTATCAGCAGATCATAATTTAAACTGTTTTATCATGATCGTGCCCCTGTAAGACAATTCATTTAAGTCTCTTACGGAGAGAGTAGACGCATCATAGGAACAAGTGTTCATAAAAGTTAACAACCAAGGTAGAGTTTGTCGGAAATGTAGATATTTTAGGCATTAAGTATTATTGAGATACGAAAAGCCTAATGAAAACTAAACTCAAGTTTAAAAAAATCTTTAAGTGTCTACAATGAAAAGAAACTCATTAATAGAATTTTTGCACAGTCAATATTAATATTAGAGCCTTATGTACACGCAGCAAGAGTAAGTCACAAGTCCTACATCATTTATTAGTCACTAAATCTAAAAAAATCATTTGATCAAGTTAAAAGGGATGGAAACCTAAATACTGCGGATCGCACAATTTCTATTCTTCTTCCTCTTCTCCACCTCCGTCTCCTTCGGTGTCCAATCTCTGCCTTGCGTTTGTGAAGACTGATTGCAAAATAATGGAATCTTCGTAAATGAGGGATCCTTCAACGTTATACACTTGAGCATTCTTACATGACTGCATGAAATCCTTTTCTAGATCATCTAGGTCATTGTACTAAAAAAACAAAAAAGAAAGAGGAAAAAATAGTTATTAATGACAGGAGCAGCACCTTAAAAATCTATGGTGAAACTGGAGAAAAAAAACTCTTACATAACATTCACATGTACTCCCATTCAACTGTTTTAAAATTTAAGCTCTACTTTTATCTATAAAAAATATAGAATAAAATAGTATTGAGAGCCATCATATGTGGTAGCAAGAAACTTTTCAAGAATATTTTTTATGGTTACTTTATTAAACGAGGAAACTATGAGGAAAACATATTGACAAATTTTCATAACTTAAAAACGAATATGTTACCTTTCTTTCTTTTAAAATGACTCATATTTTTATCTCCTTGAAAAATTGGTTGGTTCTTTTTCGTTGAATTGAATCAAATCTAATTGAGCTTAAAAATAGTGCTAGATAAATTACAAATTAGGCAAAGTAAGGTTGAGAGAGAATTTAAAGCTTCAGTTGCATAGCTTAGAAAAATATCAGCAAAAAAGCCACAGAAAAAAAGATATGTGCAGATCCTAAATCAACAAACATCCGTAATGATTTGAGAAAAAAAGCAGTGTGAACTCAAGATAAAAATGAGTGTACAAAAATAAAAAAATACACAATTATACCTTGCACATGGAACTGGAAACCCTTTTTAATTCCTGTATACTTCCAAAGAGGACGATTTATGCAAAAACTAGTAATAAGCAATTATTTCTGACTAGAACAATTGTAGAATATCACTGAGAAAATAAACATGCCTGACAAAAAAAGACACTTTATCGGAGATCCCCATTTTTTTGCTTAGTGACAGGTTTACACAACGAAATTAGAAATAATCAAATCAAACTTACTTTGCCAGCATCAATCTTTGTCAATATTTTCTTTATATCCATAGGTTTTTTGATTACTTCATAATAGTCCGGTAATTCTTTTCGAGATGGCAGTTTCATGAAAGGCTCACTCAATACACGTTGGTCACTGAAATGGAAAGAGGAATACAAAATTGAAATAGAGAGACCAATCACTCCTTAGGCCTTGTTTCCACGGGACGTTTTATGGGATTTGTCCCAGGGAAAAATCTCACTTGCGAAGTTGGGAAAAATATTGAGTTAGTCAATACTAGTCACAGTGCCAACTAAGGATCCTCGGGGAGTCCCAGAAATGACGTAAAAAGGAGAAGAAGAAATTTTGTTGTGTTTTTTAACAGAAAAAAAGCCCAGAAGTTTCATTCCTGCAATTCGAACATAGGAAAAATCCCGTGAAACATCCTGTGGAGACAAGGCGTTATGGTCACTGAAATATATACAAAAAAAAGATTCCTGTTTTATATAACACAGGAGATTGAAGAGTTTGAGTTACATTACAGTTCACATCAGCAGCAAAATAAACGTTGAATGGCAAAGCTGTTTTTGATCCAAGTTACAAACACAGGACAAGGCTGCTTATCATAAATGAAAAAAAAAAAATCATAGAACTTGATGTGTCCACCTTTTAAGCTGAAATTTTCTTTTCCTCCCGGAAAGTATTGAAATAAATTTGGAGTTTTTCAGATTAAAAAAAAGAGAAATTTTACTTCTGATCCTTACTTCTAATAATTGATGACTGAAATGGAGACAAGACTTACCTGTCTTTGTACTTAACAACTATGTTCATCAGTTTACGCATCTGTTTCCTCAGGCGTTTGTCACCAGATCCTGAAGATCCACCAGATCCAGACTTATATTCATAATCACTTGATCTAGATGCTTTGCTCGACCGCCCACCATCTTCATCATCTTTCTCTCGGCGGCGCTTGCGAGATTTTTTCGAAACTTTCAAGTCATCTTCATCCTCTATTCCTTCATCAATCATCTGATAACACAGAAAAAGGAATTATTGATAATTTAGCAACAGAGCAAATAAACCTAATTGTAATTGAAAAAAAAAAATTGTAAATAAATTGTAATTGAAAATAAATGGCGTGCACTATGTTTCAGTGCAACTAATGACTATTCAAAAAATAAATTTTTTTGTTACAGGACATTACGTTCACTCTTTTAGGTCTAATGTTAAAATGAGTCCATAATCAATTTGGCCAATTGAATTCATCCAAATTTTTATTTACAGACATTTCAATTTTTTGGCCCATGAAATTTAGTCTGATCCAATGGACAAGTTGTAACCAATGATAGTAGATTAGTAGACAAAATTTCACTAAACGAAAATTGAGGATGAAATTGCACACATTGCAAATTTTTCATGAAATTTTAACAGTTAAACTTCACAGATTTCAAATGTGTCATGAACTTTTGAGGATGACAGTTCACAAATTTCAAACGCATCATGATATGTTAATCCTCTGGTTGCAATGTGCTGCAAGGGAATCAAGTGAAAGATGAAAGGATGTCACTGTATGCATTGTTATACATACATTACTTCATTATTGTCTTGGACTCGTTACAGTGATGGACAAATGTTCATTGGATAAGATTTACATTTGGACTAAAAAATGGGACAAAAAATGTGATTGACAAATCAGTAACGAGGACAAATCGTCCTGAAACCATTTTTTCGGGTACCCTTGTGGTGAAGACTAGGTATTAAATACCTATTCTGTTAAAAAAAAACTTATTAATTTTTTTTTTTTTTTTCAAAAACTCTTTTTTTGTGGAAATATTCTTAAATTTACAAGAGGTACCTAACTTTTTCTTCAATTCTTCTGCATTAAAAATAATATATTGTCCATTTAACTTACGTTTAGCCACTCCTTTTCAGTGAGGCCATCAGTGTAATCAACTTCTTTTCGAGCCCTGGAGCCTCTTCCCATCTGAACATTTTCTTCTTCTTGGCACTCCCATGCATCAACCTCGTCATCTTCTTTAATCAGCCAAGCAGGAAGTTCCGATTCTTCGATCAGTCGAGATTTACGTGCTGCTCCCAGTTTCGCTTCTTCTCTTCGCCTTTCCAAGTCCATCTTTTGGAATAACTCGAACTCACCTTCACTACGCGCTATCATCCGGTTGACGGTTTCATCATCAGGTACTTCATTTTCTTCCTAAGAGGTGAAAGACAATACATAATTAAGCCAGCAAAACAAGAATACCATTCAAACCTTCGATTATTTTTCACTTTTTTTATTGATAATTGGAAGAACTTGAATTTTTGGAATGATATGGGACTCTGAAGTGTCGATGTGATCTGGTTGTCAATAATGCATGAAAACTGACAGAATTATTTCTTTTAAAATACAATTAATGAATTCACACTTTTTTGAGCGGTACACAACATAAATCCATATCTTGATTTATATTTTTTCATTAAGATGAGATGGTTTAAAGAAAAAGAAACCCTTACAGTTTTGGGGTATAATACTTTGCACTTCTGATAAAGATAAACAAAAAAAATTAGTTACTCTCAGTACATTTCTTGATCAGTTGATTTTTCAATGCAATTTCCTTATAATGATATGAAGGGTCAAAAAGTATTTGGGGGCACATTTTTAAGATAAAATGGTGCCTTCAAGTTTTAGTATCAAGTAGCTCAAAGAAAATAAAATATTACAAGTAAATCTAACTTCCTATAAGATAAAAGAAAACAACTTCCATACCTCATCATCAGATTCATCCTGATGCAAGATGTCATGCAAGAACTGCTGCCGTTCACTCCCGGTAGATTTCTGATCGAACATACCAGCTTGAATAACCTTTTCATCCATGTTCAACTTATATCGAGCAGCAGCAAGGATACGCTCTTCAACTGAGTTGACCGTCATCAACCGGAGCACACGCACTTCATTCTTTTGTCCGATTCGATGGGCTCTGTCTTGAGCTTGTAAGTCCTGGAAAAATAAAAACCATAGGAGACGAATATTTAAGAATTTGAATTAGTTACCAATAACAAATCGAATTTAGTATCGTTAATGTGTAATTGCTCTTCAAAGAGGTGAGAAAGACCTCCATTTTTTATGAAAATAAAACCTCCATTTATGAACAGTGCACTGTCACGTTTAATTCGTGAATTATCAAAAAGTCCAGAAAATACTATGATGCCTCAAGACCGAAGACAGCAACTTGCTAGAAAGAGGGGTAGCAGAGAATGAAGAGGAAAAAAATTAAAAGCTAAATAATCCTCCTAGATCGATAAGAAATTGGATCCAAGATTCATAGGTCTTGTTATTTCCTAATAAAAGATACTCTTAGAGTTGAAATATTTCTCATTCAAAACTCGGATTCATGTCGGATACTCACTGCAAGTTTTTTCAAGTGCTTTTCCCTTTTCATTAGCACTACAGATATGCTTTTTGAAAGCCATTGAAGGACTACGAACACCCTAAAAACTTTTCTTAAGTTGCCAGAACATTTTGGGACTGCATCATAACTTTTGAACAGTTCTTAAAGCTTCATGATAACAATATAAGAAGTAATCAGTTTTTTCAAATTCCTATTGGTATTCAAGAAAAAAAGAGCACCTACCTGATGAGGATTCCAATCTGAGTCAAAGATGATAACAGTGTCAGCGGACTGCAAATTGAGACCTAGACCACCAGCTCTGGTACTGAGTAAGAATAAGAAGTATTCGCTGTCAGGGTGATTGAATTTTCGCAGGAGCTCACCACGATCTTCAGATTTGGTTGAGCCATCCAATCTCAGGTAAGTAAAACCGCGCCAGTTCAAGAAGTCTTCCAGGACAGTCATGAGCTGAGTCATTTGACAGAACATTAAAACCTTGTGACCAGTTTCCTTAAACTTTGGCAAAATACGATCAAGTAACTCGAACTTCCCAGATGAGCGATACAGATCAGGACTGTTATCAAAACAAAATAAAAATTACATGAGCGATAAAAAGTACAAACAAAATTACTCATCATTACATTAGTCTTGAAGCACAGAAAGTTAATTTATGCTGGCATTGTAAAAGGGGTCTTAGAAAACTTCAGAATCAATCCTCGAATGGCTTTGATGAAGAACTTTGATGAAAAAGGATGATTCATTATTAATACCCTAAAAAGTTGAAATTTCATTGCTTATAGGACACTAACATACGAAAGTACAGCCCACAGACAGAGGGATCTAAGTCATAGGGGCTGAATAATTTTCAAGAGGAGGATTTTTATCAATTCAGGTTGGAAATCAGATTTCTCACTACTTGAGCTCCAGTTTAGTTGATTATTTTAGGCCGAAAATTCTTTAAAAACACCTCTAAGCTCTAGTAGCAATGCATACCTGAATTTTGAGAACTAGAGTCTCCAAGTCTTTTCCCCAGTACGGCTACGAATGTACTCTAGTATCATTACTCTCAATATCGGCCAGAAAAAAAGAACCAAAAGAATCTTACATTCTAGTGATATTTCCATACAAGATTAAAAAAATTTCAATTTTAAAAAACTCAACGTTGTTGAAATTCAATGCTTGACTAAATTAACTTTTTGTTTATTCCAGAGATAAGAAAAACTGTTTTAATGTGCTAGGGTGAATCATTTCCAAAGTAAACTTTAATTGCTCCAACACATACTTTTTGTCTTCTAACATTTTTTAGCACAAGATATGTTTGCGGAGGCACTCTCTTTACAAAAGATCCTCTCATTCTTTTAGTTGAAGTTAATTTTAGGGTTGGCATTGCATGGATTTAATTATGATACCGTGAAAGGCAAATCAAAAATGAGTACAATCTTACCCGGTGACAAAACCAGCGGTGAAACCAACATGCTCCGAGTACTTTTCTTCAATGTTTTGGAACATGAATGGATGATTGCATAGTTTCCGCAGCTGCATAATTGTATTGATAAGTGCCTTTGTACTACCAGATCCTGATTTTCCTTTTTCTGAACCATCAGTAAGAAGCACACCTTTGCTCTGCATATGTCTAAAACATACAATAAGGAAAATTTGCATGAGAATACAAGGCGAGAATACACAGTAAAAAAAATTTGAAATTGTTTCTGTCCGCACGTATTCAAAAGGAAAGTCCCTATTGATACTCATTTACCCATTTCCACCACTTCAGTGATAAGCCTGATGCAAGGAGTAGGGATTAATGTTTAGATGGGTGTGATTTGAGGCATATTTTGCTAGAGGAACAATGGTACCTATTGGTATGCACAAAATTGCTCAATAAGTATGGTCAAGAGACAAGAACACTTTTCTTGGGGCCTACCCATTCAAAAAGTCACTTTTAAGCCGCAATGGGTGCCGGACATTTGTGACGTTATATTTTGAGACCAACTTGGTTTTTTTTAACTTCTAGCAATGTCATTCTTCATCCGGAATTGATTTTCAGGTGTAAATATTAAGATTACCAATAATAATATGTGGTACAAACCTATACAAAACTCGTTGAAGTCCTGACATTTCACATTTGATAATGTGTTCAACCTTATCAGGCAGCTGCGATTCTACTTCTTTCTTCAAACGTCGCAGAAGGAAAGGCCTCAATACTTTATGTAGACGCCGAATAATAAGGATAGTTTCTTCTTCATTAAGTTCAACCTGAAAAGTAAGGAGGAGGTTATGGCACAAACAAAGCAAAGAAAGAAAAACTATCAGCAAATTAACAAAAATTTAATGGCAGTGCCGGGAGAACATGATTCCTTATCATTTTTCATTCCCCAAGCATCTAAAAAATTCATAACTGAGGAAATACTAAAATCCATTTTTGACAATATTCAAGGAAGTATTCCTGTTAGTATAGAGACAAAAAATAATTAACTTCATAATTCTTCAAGAGTATATATTGGCTATGTATACTTAAAAAAATTAAGAAATCTTAAAAAATAGGTGGGAGAAGATTTAGTGTCTTGATTTGAAGTAAATTTCTACACATGTGCGGTCCATAAAATAAGAACCTTCGCCCTTAAAGACAATATTTTTAGTAAAACAATTTTTGTCAAGTTGATTCTAAACTCTTTTTGCTAAAATTGCCAGTATTGTTTGTTAGCCCTCGATATATCAAAAAAAATGAAACGCGATTTGGCATACCTTTTCTCCAGTGGTTGCAAAAGGAGCATTAAACCATTGCTCGAAGGTGGAGCAAGACTTGAAAATTGAGGGAAGCAGGAAATTCAAAAGGGCCCACAATTCTGGCAGTTTATTCTGAAGAGGGGTGCCAGTGAGAAGCAAACGATGCGATGTATTGTAATGCGAATTCAAAACTTGTGTCAATTTACAATGGTGGTTCTTCATCCGATGTCCTTCGTCCATTATCATATACTTCCAGTCGAACTAAAGAATATGAAAATCAAAAGCATTCATTAACATAATGGCCACAAAGTTAAACTAACGATGAGAAACAGAGGTTTAAACTAATTTAAGAGAATACAGAGGAAAAGGGTTTTGGCTTCCTTTGCCATGACTTAATTCAGTTCCGCATGACCTTCATAGGCGCTTAATTTTTCAAGAGAATATCCTTTCTTACCAAGTAAAATAGTTAGACCTACTGCACTCATAAGATATGATTACAGTAAGATTGAAGTAAAAGGTCCGCAGACACAAGTTTAAAATCATGGCAGTGCAGTTTATTTCCTCTTGAGTGGCCAATGACAAAAATATGATTTTCAGTTAATCAAGATATCAGCTCATGAGCAAGAAGTTACACACTCACATTGATATTCATGGAATTTTGTTACAACTGGTGAGACTGAACAGAAGACTAGAACAAGTAGTTCAAGAGCATTCCTTTTACATTAATTCTATTGTAAAGGACAAAAAACAATCAAGGAGTTAGGTGAAAAATATTAGAAAATTACTTGTTATAAAAAAATCAATAAAACAAGAACACAGCGTAAATGCAATTCATTTTCAAGTTGCCACTCCTCTTTCTTTCTTAAACCTTTTCAAGATCTTGAAGTAATTTTGCAATTACACTGAAACTATCTACTGCTTAAATATAATCTATTTTCGACACTGATTCGATACTGAGTAGTAAGAATAATGGAAAAAAATAAACCTCAATCACCTTGGTTAGCACAGATTTATCCTTCAGGACATATTCATAAGTAGTGATGAGAACATTGAATAGGGATGAATTCATTTGGCTTTGCAAAGCTCGCCTGACACCGGGTGAACCTTTGTAGGCAACAATAGAAACAGAGGGCGCCCATTTTTCGAACTCGAGGACCCAGTTCGATAAAGTTGAGAGGGGTACAATGATCAAGAAAGGTCCATTAAGCTTTTTCTTCTCCATTAGATAAGTAATTAAAGCAATTGTCTGAATGGTTTTGCCAAGACCCATTTCATCTGCTAAAATGCCATTTAAATTATTATTGTACAGAGAAACCAGCCACTCAAGACCTTTAATTTGATATTCTTTCAATTTACCATTGACCATTATGGAAGCTTGCTCCATCACAATTTCTGATATTGTGTGAGCAATGCTGTAATAACTTAACTCCTCAGATGTAGTTTTGTACTCGTCATCTTCAGCTTTTGCTTTCGTTATCACTTGCTTCGCCTCCTCAGTGTCTATCGCTTCCTCAGCATTCTCCCCCTCCTTTTTCACCTCAGGGGCTTTGACAATAGGCTCAGCTTTTGCTTTTTCTTCCTCGCTCTTTTCTTTTTCATTTTCATCAGCCGCATCTGTATCATTATCTTTTTGTTGTTCTTCTTTCTTTCTCATTGCTTCTTTGTGTTTCCGCTCTTGTTCAAGCTTGTGCTGTTTCACCATTTCTGTTAAATTACTGATATATTCATCTGTTTGGGAAAGGAGGAAAGCCAAGCGTTTGTCTTTCTTCTGATCGATAAGTTTCCTGTAACCTTCTTCATCTTCTGCCATCAGGCGGCGCATACGTTCCTTTTCAATTCTTTCTTGCTCTTTCTTTTGTTCTCGTTCAGCATTGACATGATAATTAAGTACAGCTTTGTTGATGTTGACCAATTTTGTCCTGTTACTGTTATGGAAGTCTTTAAAGTCTTTGCAATGTTGTAAAACAGCACATAAATATTCTTGGTGTTTCTGACGACGATTCCTCTCAGCTTCGATTCTTCGTTGTTTCTCAAGCTTTTCAGTGGCACGAGCTTCTCTCAAACTCTGCCTCTTGATACGTTTGTATGCTCTGGGGTCCACGGCAGTTTCTAGAGTGGTGTCACGTCGAGTGCAGGCAACTATTTCACGCCTCAATTGCCTTTGGAAATTTAAACAACGCAGCGCTTTGAGCTCTATTTGTGCTTTTATTCGTAAATCTTCTGACATGTTGGTGGGTAGATTGTACAGCTCAATCATTCGGTGAGCAATTCGAGCGTTGATTCGATTCTCCTTCTCTTCGAGCAACTGAAGCGGATCTATTCCAGTGGGTCGAGATACTGTAGTTACACGATTAAGTTTCAATTGGGCTTGTTGTTTTTGATTGAATTGTTGCTGATTGGGAAGAGGTGGTTGTCCCGGTTGAATGGGAACAACCTGACCTCCTGGACCTGGGATAACCGGTACAGGTATAGGACCGGGGCCAACTGTTGCTACTGGACCCACCGTTGCACCAGGAGGTGGCATACCAACAGGGCCACCAGGAAGGACAGGACTGCCAGGAGGCATTGTACCTACAGGACCGACTGGACCTCCAGGACCTACAGGAATCATATGACCAGGCATTCCATGAGAATTTGGAACAACTGGACCGACGGGCCCACCAGGACCAACTGGACCAACTGTAGGAATACCAGGGCCTATGGGACCGGGTGATCTGCCCCTAATTGCAGAGGGTGAATCAAGTGGAATGGAAGAATTAGGCATGGGTGGGCGCTGCATATGCATTGGAGGACCGGGCGGCCCAGGAGGACCCGAGGCTCCTGGAGGCATCTGCATCTCACTTTGCTCACTTGGAGGGTACGGCTGGTTAAAATTTTGCTCAGGTGGCTGCATCCCTTGAGGTGGCATTGGTTGCGACTCTGGTGCCATCCATTTGTCTTGCGGGTTGAGAGGTATACTTTGATTCAGCGGGAGATTCCGTGCTAGAGTCCGATAAGCAAGGATTTGGGCTCGTAGTTGCTGGATCTGGTTCGGGCTGAAAACATTTCGGCCCGGATTTGTATTATCAGGACCCATCTTGGTGACCTGCAATAAAAGTGAAGAAAACATTGAAAGATCTTGAAAGGAAGCGTTTAAAGATCAAATTCAAACTCTTCTACTTAGTCCTAAAATAGTAAGAATTCATGTTACAGTCGAATTGTCACTCCTCGGATGTAAGGGCGTAATTCTATTCCCGCAGGAGCCCTGAGAGGAATGGAGTTATACGGAGAACAGGACTTGCATGGAAATTGAGATATGCTTTTATGTCAGAGGAGCGACAAAATGATATTCAAATGATAAGATTCTTCAGTCAAAATATTTCTCTTTATGCAGGTTTTCACTAAATATTTTGCATGAGCGGCTATTACTAACTTTCTTTTTCACATTATGGGTGTGAAACTTACGATAAAATCCTCACAGAAAAAAATCAGATGGTGAATGCAATGTGAAAACTATGAGGAAAAATGTGAAGCGATTTGAATATCCAAGAAATGAATTGGTACCTGGTGCTTCTGAAAAAGTAATAGATCTAGGAATTACGCCATGATTATGGTCATTTTAGGGAATATCAGGGGGTAGCTGCCACTGTTCATGATACAGCATCATTCCTTTCGTACAACATCATGTATACTTAGGCTTTGTACAACCAAAGAAAACCAGGAGCTGTTTCAGAATCCCTATGGACAATAATAGTGGCGACGTCATCATAGGGATTCTCCATTATATTGAATTGGATCCAAACAATGACACTGGCATAAACTCTTTCAATGCTACCATTGCGAAAACATTGTTGAATATATCCCTCTTCTGTGACGTGGCACTAATAGCGTCTATAGGTTTTTTCAGTTAAAAGTTTTAAGTACGTCAAGAAAAGGCCTTGATGTCTCCAGATTTACATTGAATTATTTTGTGTCTATTTTAAGGATGTTAGAGTTCTCTTGATGATAAAACTTGGATCAGTTGGTGGTTATACTCTACAGCAGCCTGATTGTTGAAATTTTTTGTTTGTCGGGACGACATAGATGACATAGGTTAAAAGGCGGAGCATGATTGGTCGGCTATGTCTTATCGCCGCTTTGTCGTGCCTATGTTGTGTTGAACTCACGACAAGCTAAAGGCACCTCTGAAGTTTCCGACAGTATATAGTCCATCCCACCTGACAAAGGCACGACAAAGCAGCGATAAGACATAGCTGACCAATCACGCTCTGCCTTTCAACCTATGTCATCTATGTCGTTCCGACAAACAAAAAATTTCAACAATCAGGCTGCTGTGCAGAATGTAAATGAGGAAAACAATGAGCCAACTCATTAATAGCTACTATAACTACGGAATAAGTAAACAAGTGAGGAGTCATTGGTTCCCATCTTCAAAAAAAACCATACTTCTTTTCTTATCAGCATAATACGGACAGTATGCTGTTACATGTGATGAATTCAGGAGGAAATAATCACAAAAATATGTGGCAAAGTGGATCGCATAATGAAATAGCGACATCAAATCAATGTATTCAGCATGCATGATCAAAAATGTCTCCTCTTTACATAAGAAGTGACTCTTGCACTCTCTCTGGTTTTGATTATAGTTCCACATAGTGAGCAATTACATTCTCTAATGCATTATTCATTTATTCATAAGACAGAAATTTGTTTGACTAGGTATGCATTGGAGATGTTCAGGAGGACTCCAACGAACAGATTTGAAGCCCAAATTTGATTTTACTTGAGTAATCTATCGCCCGAGTTGAAATCATCAAGTACAAAATGGAAAAAGGGCGCAACAGCAGGTAAGCGATGAGGTACATAAATGTGCTCGACCTCAATTAATTCCAGACAGAAAACGAAACCAGACCACAAGTAAAAGTTATTAACGTTGACAATCTATAAAAGAAGAATAATGTAAGTGGGGCTCGGAAATTATGAGGTCAAGTAGCTGAATGGCTGTACTGCAGGAGACTGACATTCTAGTGGTTGGATGACGTATCACGTAAACTACGGAGAATTTATTGAAATAATACATACTGAGTAGACACTCCAACTACGAGCACAGTTATTTACACTCACAAGGCTTTATCAGAGCAGAACACTTTCAAAAATTCATTAAAGACATTATTAAAAGGCCGGAAAACTGACTAACAAAGCCTTAGGTTAGGGCCGCCATTGATTCGATTGCTTTGCTTTGTTTTTTTCCCTTGATGAAGAGAAGGAGAGAGGGGAGAACGCTAGCGACGCTTGCCGAAAGTGCCGGTCATTTAGTTGCTTTTTTCTTGTATAGAGAGCGTTGCTGCATGGCTTGATTCTGATGCTTGTCTGACTAGTCGATGACGGCGCAGAGATACAACTATTCGTACTTGATGGATGTCTGTGTTGCTCTGCAAAATTGAAGGCGCGATGGCGCGAGGCGTGAATTCTCAGTGCTCCACTTGCCGATTATGCCTTGTCTCCACGAGCCGTTTCACGAGATTTGTCCCAGGGAAAAATCTCACTTACGAAGTTGGGAAAAATATTGAGTTAATCAATATTTTTCCCAGTACCAAGTATGGTACTTGTACCCTTAGGACCCACTGAGAGAAGAAGAAGAAGTGAAAACGAATTGTGCGATATTTTATTCATTACTACATTGTTCATGTTTGTTTAGTTAAAAAATGTGTCTAATTGTCAATTGAGTGCAATTATTATTTTAATCCCGGTCAAATACTCGACTTTAACTAATTTATCTTCCCGCGCAAATTAGCCGCAGGACTGCAAAGAGCCCCGTCCCGTGGAGACGATAACTGGGAAAAATCCCAGAAGTTCCATTCCTGCGACTCGAACTTGGGAAAAATCCCATGAAAACGTCCCGTGGAGACAAGGCCTTAGGCGTCGCTTGTCACTCAGGTTCGGAGGATAAGCTAGAAACGAGTCTCAGTTGTATCTCTCCTATTTTCGGCTATGTTGACACTCGATTCTTTTCAATTTGAGGTCCAACTCTTTTGTAGTATGTATTTGTCAACCGACATCTAAAATCAGTAGGTACTGGCCCCATAACTCCCCCAGAAGAGATAGTCGGGTCAATTTGGCTCGGCTTGGAATTTCTTGGGATAGTTTTGAAAAAAATTGGGCGAAATTCAGTTTTTTATATTTTTCAATTTGATGTCTTGTTGTTTGTTTATTCTTTAAGATGTATTTGTAGACTACATCGACGGTGAAATTGCAGAAATGCATACCTCGATTGCGGTGTTTCGAAATCTTCTCAACTATTGTATTTTTTGAAGGAAGATCGAACCAACATCATGGTTTGAAGACTTCACAGAATATTCTTCATTTATAAACTTTGATTGAACCGCGATTGGATCGCATTCAACAGAGGGAAACCTGCCCGATTACAGTGTATCCAAAATTTTGCGACTACATCTTCATCCTAAAAATGCTTGGAATATAGGAAATGTTCTTTTTTTACCAATAAATTTTGGCTTTAAAGGAGAACAACCGTGTTAATTGTATTTTGTACATATATTCGATGTTCACAAAGTAAAGGAAAAGTTGTACGATTTTGAAAACACTGTGCTTAACCAGACTCACTGGGGGAAAAAAACACATTGGAGAGTCCAGACTCTTAAAACATCGACAAGAAAAAATACTCTTGATTCAATCGGATTTTTGCTTAAAGCAAGAACCAATAAGCCTCTTAATTTGAGCGGATTTCGTTTTGATTTAAGCAAAAATCTGATTGAATCAAGAGTAGGTATTTTTTCTTGTCAATGTTTTTAAGAGTCTGGACTCTAGATCCAATGTGTTTTTTTCCAGTGCTGGTTTCAATTCGGTTAAATATGATCCAATTGTATTGTTGTGAAACTATTGATCTCCCACTTGAAGTTCACCTTCAATTTCACTACATAGGCAACAAGCCTAACTAAGGGCTCTAATTGTTATCTGGTCTAAAAACACACATTTATCTCGTTGCATGCACTCTGTTCGCCGTAGAATCAATCGACCTATAAACAGAAAAAGTTGGTGACGTACCCAACGTGCGTTAAAAATCAGCATAAAGCTGATCATCTCAACACAGAGGGAACCAACTTTTTCTGTCTCAATGATTGTCTACTGCAATCAGTTTGTAATAGACCTATAGGCAGGTTCGTCGATTTGAGAGTCGCCCTCAATTTTGCTAGATAGGCAATAACTACACCGCGGACCGCGAATATTTATCTTTTTAAAAAATTCACATTTTTGTCGTTTCTTACTCGAAGATTCATCCAAAATGATTTCATTATCAAAATGTTATTTTCACTCAAGCTAGACTAATTTCAATGAGTAAATAATATACTCTTGCGTGAATTGCAAATTTTGAAAGTTGAGTCAGTATAGTTTTGACTTTCCTTTTAATTTCTGTCTCAGACCAATTTACTTACTGTCTTTAGCTAGGTAGTTGGTTCGATCTTTGTGAGTAGGTAGCAAGTTCAATGAATATCATTTTAGAAACATTATGATAATAATTTGACCGCGTTCAGTAGAAAGAAACCGAGCATTATCAGCTATTGCCTTAGTTGTAAATTTTTTACATGAAAACGGTTGTGCGGATTTGTGTGCAAATTCCAGTGAATTTTCTGCATATTACGACGTATAGGCGGATCCACAACCCTCAAAGAGACCNNGGGGGGGGGGGGGGGGGAATAAAGATTTTTGAATTTTTAAAGCATCTAATATGCAGTTTGAGTCAATTTCGTCGTAATAGAGATGTTGCATGTGTGAGAAATTTTGCAATTGACCATTGACCCTTATGTGAAAGTTTGCGAGAAACACGATGGTGCCACTGGTTTTCTCTGAAATCAACTCCCAAGTTCCAAAAAAGCTCTCAAGTTGATGCCAAAATGGAGGGGATATCCCACGCTATCCTGAGAGTCCACCTCTACATCAAGACAAACTCTCCACGCAGAGATAGGGAGCAAATGCATTAGCAGGGTTGCCGTGTTTTCAGTTTTAGAGTCCCCAAATAAAGTGGCAGCCCTGCATGTCAATGTATTTGCTCCCTATCTTCGCATGGAGAGTTTGTCTTGTTTGGAGAGGTGGACTCTCAGGATAGCGTGGGATATCCCCTCCATTTTGGCATCAACTTGAGAGCTTATTTTGAGCTTGGGAGTTGATTTCAGAGAAAACCAGTGGCACCATCGTATTTCTTGCGAACTTTTACATGCGTATCAATAGTCAAATCGCAAATTCCTCACACATGCAACATCTCCATTACCAAATGTAAGCGTTTTCCCCTCTTCTTTCCTCCTTCTTTTTCCATTCTCCCTTTCTTTTCCCTCCTCCTTTTCCAGGATTCAGAGGGAGCTTACGCCCCCTAAACCTCCCCTGGTTCCGCCTATTTATTTCGAAGTATATTACTTAAAATTTTCCCTTGAAATTTCCAGAATCATAAGATTATATTGTACGGCAAATTCGCTAAAAGAGTGATGAATAAGATCTTACAAGTTTTCCAGGAAATTCGTATTGAATCGGAGGGAATTTGGCAAAACTCGAGTGTTCACACAGAATTTTCCCTTCACACTTCAGTATTGATAACCGAGCAAAGGATAACGATATCGGTCATGACGCATTAATGCAACCATACGTGCTCTATTAACTTCCGTGTTGCATACTAAAAATTGAAGGCGCTCTGTTGATTCTAGTGCATGAGCCGGTGCTCGCAGCCATATGCTGTGACGACTCGGTGTGGCGATGGGATATACAATTTTGATATGTAAAAAAGGTGCAAAATTATCCTTTGCTTACTTTTCCAGTTTCTATTAGAAAATGTCATATTGCTATATATTCTTAACGACGTGCCACGCGCAGTTGTGTGCACTGCATCATGGAATAGAGTGACTGTCATTTTCTTCTGCACTTGCGTACAAGTCTCCTAAAAAAATGGTACGTATTTCCTTCAACTCGTGCAATGGAAGCAAGGAGCAGTAAGGGCAGCAAAACTTTTCGGCAGTGGATAGAGCAAGAATATACGCTTTTAAATAGCTAACGAAGAAATAAGTTTATTTTAATATTAAAAGAGACACGTGAAATTCTAATAACATTAAAAAATAAATAATATTTTACGTACACTTAAAAATATGTACAAAAACTCATTAAAATCTGACAAAAGCTAATTTTGATTATATAAAACCTAACGTTCAATCAACAATTTAAAGACAGAGAGAAAGAGAGGAACTATCTTAATTCCGTTGTATGATGAAAAGAGGTAGGTTCGTAAGTACTTAGTTTAACCAAACTTAATACGACTCAGTTGGTTACGTGATAAAATTCACTAGTACGATAAAACATCAACAAATTCACTAACTCGGTACCCAATATCTCTAAAAACTGGTGAGGCGATTTCCTGGGTATAGAATGCTCATTGCATTGCGCTGCTTTTTGCGTCTATCTTGACCTGCAGGAGCCCTTGTCACAGGCAAAGGGGTGCATATACATTTTTTTATGAGTCCTTTCAAGAGTGAATACTTGCAGTTTACGATTATCGTACAAAAAATTATGGCATGTTTCCAGCAGAACGATAAATTGTGACCCCCTTGTGTCACTTTTGAGTTATGGACCTGCAATATTCCTTGAGAAAAAGGTAGTCCAATACCTAAAATTACGTTCTCACAATATCAGTCGATCATTCAGACCCTAATTTCTGAACATACTGACCAACTTCGAAAGTAAAGTATACGGTAACTCATCGTATCGATTGAACTTATGAAAGCAATTTTTCTTTAAAACAGATAATCTTCAAAATATCTTTCATAGTCTAAAAAATCATCACCTCCTTGTGACAGCTTATTTTACCACCGTAATAAGGAAAATTTCTCGGTATAATATTCTCTAATTTATATCTATAATTCATTACATCGAAATAATAGATGAAATCAGATTGAATCGTTGATCGTTGAATTTGTTCGTGATGAGAGGAGTGACGTCGCTGCAACTGGACTCGTGAGATCAACTCAAGACTCAGTTTCGGCAACTAGTTTCTCCTCCTCTTTGAAGAATGGCTCCACCACACTCAGAGATGCTTCGAATTTTTCTGTAAAAGTATTTCGGAACATATTAGATCAATATTGATTCATGAACAAACTAATAAAAAAGTCGTTTATAAAATAAAAAAAACAATTGTTAGACCGGCTCCAAGAGAAAAGATTTTGTTAATATATCGACGGTGAAACTACCAAACCACGTATCTCGGTTTGCGACGTCGCAGACTTCCTGTCATACTTTATTTTTTAAATGAAAAACTATTTAACGTCCAGTCTTGAAAATTTCTGTGATTTTTCCTCTTCGCGCGGAGAAAATTCTGTGAAAATTTCAAGGAATGATATTGATTTGGTCTACTTCAAAAAAATAAAATGTGAGCGTAGATTTTTAAACACCGCAAACGAGATACGTGGTTTGGTAGTTTCACCGTCGATATGTAGATAAAACGCTTGTACAGATGATACAAAAAATTGGCAAAAATATTTGGAGGTATTAAGCATATCAAAAATTAACTAAGGAAATGATAGTGGAAGGTCTCAAGCTTAAAGATCTTAATTTCGAATTAAATTTAATGAAAGTTTAAAAAAAAGTTGGGTCAGCGGTTAAAAATAAAAATCTGAACTACCTAGCTTGCTCTCAATTTTACTGACGTCAAAATATTTTTGCGTGTATAATCTTCTCTGGCATTTCCTCCCCGAATACAAGGTTTTTTTTTAAAATTGTAAATTAAAATTAACAGTAAATTTATTGCAACATGCAGAGTCTGTGGATAATTTAAACCCTATAGAGTCTGCATTCGGTATGGTCTTAGGTACACATGGAGGTGCTATGACGGGCATCCTTCCTTAACACAGAAATTGAGTACTAGGACCTGAGTTTTAAAATAGAATTATACTCAAATGTTAAAATTGAAATTAGAGAAATCGGTCACAAAATAACGCGAAATCTAAGACATGGTAATCTATCGCGATTTTGAAGCAAAGAAGTTTGCCACTTATGGGATAAGAAATCTTGAACCCCCTCACATTGAAATTGAGGTGTCAGATAATTACGCTCCAAGTTAACTGTTCGTATTGATGCAGCCATAATATATTGATGCGTTTACGTTAAATGCTGATTAACCTTTTATTTCATGAAATATCGTGGATAAATAGGACCACATTTGCAATAAGGAGCCATTATTTCTGGCTAATTTTAGAAACAACATATATGCCATCGGTTTCCCTATGCAGAAAGGTGCTTTTAAATAGGAGTCGGAAATAATGGCTCCTCATTGCAAAATGTGATCCAATTGAAAGCTGATCTCTTTGAATAAGTTTGCCCCGGTCATTATCTCGGAATTAAAGCTCTTTCTTTGAGAAATGAGTCCCCCTGGAGTATGGATAATAATATCACACAGCGTGGCATATAGGTACGTACTCTCAACAAAAAAATGTCGCAGACGCAGCAGAAAAAACTCATGAGCCCTACCCCAAGTAGCATTTCTCAACGGGAAAATCGTTGTATATTGCGACTTTGTCGGCGATAAGATCGCCAGGATCATCAACATCTGAGCGATTATCCTCAATCTTATCGCGATAAAATTGCGCTTTTATCGCCCAACAATTTATCCCGGTATTTTCGAAATAAAAATCGCGATAAATGGCGATTTAATTTCGATTTTATTGACAAAAACTGATCTCGATTTTATCGACGAAAATTGATCACGATTTTATCGAACCAAAAATTGCAATGTGTAGCGATTTAATCGCCATATATCGCAATTTGTCATGCGATAATATCTCGATTTATTGCCGTCGATATAATCGCGATAACCGACCGATTAAATCGCTATTTATAGCGATCACTGCTACTTGGGTACAGGCAAAACGTTCTTTTATTTGCAGCCTTCGACAATTATTTTCAGTGAGTAGAGTTAAAGTGAGTGGTACTCTAATTGTACCAAATTACCAAATTGTTTGTAAATACTACTAATTGTTTGCCATTATGAGAGGACTCTCATGTCGTTCAAAGAAGCTTTCGATTTGATTTAAGAATATGCATTACCTGCTAATGATGCTAAAGAACCCAAGGTGCCACCAAATTCCTTCGGTAAGACTGATTCAGGAACAACAGCTCTGAAATCTACAATCTGGTCCTCCGTGTAAAATTTGACCTGCACAAACATAAAAACATGTAAAGAAAAATGTTCTTTTTTAAATACGTCAAATTTTGAGCGTTTGGTTGCGCGTACACCTCGCTGCAGCACAGTAAAAGCACAAAATGTAAAAGAAAAAATTAAAGTGCTTTGGAAATCATTAAATTTGACACGGAACCACCAATATTTAAAAAACGCACATTATATTATTATTCTCCTTTGATAAATTGATACATACTTTTTTCCCATCGATTTAAATGAGAATAATCAATGCAGAGTGTGCCTGCCCTTTCAAAATCATGAGTTAAAAAACGCTGACTATGCGAGTATAAATATTAAAGCCTGACAGAGCGGAGCGGCGTGCTGCCAGCGTGAGAGGCTCACTGGCTCCTACAAACCTAAGTGGATACTTCACGCATTGCACAATGCTTGAAGTATCCACTTAGGTTTGTAGGCGCCAATGCGCGTTTCGCGCTGGCCGCCCGCCCGCCGTGCGGCGGCGCCTGAAGCAACTATTTCACAACAGAGGTGTTGCACAGTATCATTCCAAATTGAACTTATTAAGAATGACAGGCATCCTTTAAAAGTACAGATCTTTCCTCGCAAAATAAATCAAGATACTTGTCGTACACAAGAAAAATTTAGGAGCCTTTAGCTGAGGCAAATATAGAGGCTTATCCGGTTCAGGTATAACAAGGTGGAAATTTCTTGAAAGATAATTATGTACTGTTACACCAAAGAGATGTAGAGAATTTTAGTGAATTTTGTCTCATGGAATTGACGCTCCCCCATTTTTGCCAAAACTTTCGACTATATACATATCTCCGTTGGACCAAACAGGTAAAACAAACAAACGAGGAAACCCTCATTCTTCCAAGACATTATACATTTTTATTCAAAAACGTCGTGAGCAATTGTCGTTCGTATTTACATGTGGGCCAATTAACTTTGCGTCTCAACTGGCACGTGGACCAAAACTCCCATGCCGAAAAAACGCGTGGACGTAAATTACTGGAAAAAACAGGTGCGCGGACAAAAAATCGCTGACGAAATGTCCTATAACCCTTTGTGGTCATGCTCGTCGGAATTTTTGGGCGGTTTCATAATTCATAAGTCTATTCATTAATCTGAATCTATGTGTGTAACAGACATACACCGCATAATTGAAACATAAGTAATTCAATAATTCTGTAACAGTCACGGTGTATTTTTCGAGAATTTTTGAAAAGAGAACTAAAGTTGAAGATAAAATGTGATAAACTAGAATTTTAACTACATACCTTGTCGAATAGCTCTTTGCTAACAAATGGTCGCGCTATATTCACTATTTTTGAGATGTAGAAATTGACGTTTATGATGTGAATCGCTTTAGCTCGGATTGGTAAAGCTTCCTGCAAAATACAAGGAGAAAAAGTGTTTGTAAAATGAGAAAATTGTTCACAATTTTCATGATTTTTCAAAATCTCAAAGTTACCAGTTATTGCTGCGTATTTGCGCTATAAACTAGTTATGCATGAATGTGTAAGCTCTGCGCAACATAAGATTCGATTAATTTTAAAATCAAAATCCCAAAAGGCAAAGAGCCTTTCTCGCAAATAAATGGCGTGTCCTCGCAAAAGTTGGCAAATTATATACATTTTGACTTAAGACAGAGAGAGAAGAAGCAGTAGATGAAGAAAAGAGAAGAAAGAGGAAAATAAATTGAAAGGAAGAGATGAAGGAAAGAGAGAGGTAGGCAGAGAAAAGAAAGCAGAAATGAAACAGAAAGAAAAGATAAGATCACGAGGAAGAGGAAATGATAAAGAAGAAATTAGAAAGAAGTGAAAAAAAGGTATCATCGTGAAATTACACGCTCACTCAAAATACACAGATTGATGGAAAAAAAACAGATTTTTACCGAGACGAGAGCGGTTTTTGTAACGCCACATTAGTTCGCCTCCAATTTTTAGTGTAGGCAAAACGAGCTCCCTTGTGGTTGAATCGCTTTGGGAGTTTAGGACTCACACAAAAAGGCTGTTAATCGAACGGAGAGAAGTTAATTTAACATCATGCTAGTTCGCCTTCAATTTTTAATGCAGGCAACACGAGCTCCCACGTGGTCGAATAATGAAGTATATTCGCAAAATGCAAAGTCAGAATGTCGTATAATTTTCTGTTGCGACAGTAAAATATAAGAAGAGATCAGACACTGCCTGATATAGTTCGGCTATTCTCGTTTAATCTGTCTAAATAATTTTATAATTGGAATAATGGTTTTCAAGTAACTTGATTAGTTCACTAACCTCGTAGACTTTGATGATTTTCCTGATGGTGCCGATGTTGACCTTGAGCATATGCCTGAACGTAAGATCCCTATAATCGATGACAACTTCAGTGTGTTTGGCAACTCCGTATAAGTGTATACTTGCTTCAATGGCCATTATGAAGTACTTAAGAGCTATGTCGTATGTGTAATGTGTTGTGTCGGTGTTCACTAATTTTGCCACGATTATTTGACTATCTTCTGGGGTTCGCACCGGAGATGCATACTGATGTCTGTAAACAGGGAAACAAATATCTAATTACGAACACATTAAGAGACTCGCAAAATCCAAATTGCATTAAATTGGAGGAAGGAGAAATGTTGTATAGTTGCGGCCAAAGCCGACACTTTGACAGTCTTAAGAAGATGTACCTTATTTTGACGATATAACCTTGAAACTTACAAGTTTAATATTTTGATTTTAAAATAAGATGTGAAAAAATAGATTTGATTTTCATCAGTAGTAGTATTTTTGTAAATTATTTTTGTAGACCATGGGCGGCTCACATATAACTAATACCCAGATTTTAGCTGAGGGCAGTGATGATAATCGAAGGTGTATCTTCATTTCAGTGTTTCAAAATCTTCCCTGGTACTGCTTTTTAATTTTTTAAAGATAAAACGAGTAATCATTCACCAATATTGTTTGAAATTCTCACAAAATATTTTGTTAATGAGGAAGGAAACAATCAATACAAATTCCCAGAAATGACTACTTTCGTTTTTTACTTAATAGAAATTGTAATATGACGGAGAAATCTGCAATGTCGTATGTCGAGACTTGTTTTTGAACTCTTATCATCGTAAGTAACAAAGTCAGTAAGCTTAAAATTGTGTGAGTTGCGATGAAATGTGTAGTCAATATAGGAGCTGGTAGTTTTACGCTGGTTAAGATGACTATTCGCGTATTTTTAACTCGAAACATTTTAGAAAATCAACATTTATGTTTTATATATCAACATCTTAAGGGAACGCATATGGCTTTGCTTCGAGAGAACAATGATTTCAAGGATTCAAAAGGAAACAATTTCAATAACAGCAAAATACGCGCGGAATGCAAAGGCAGTTCCGGTCAGCAGGAAGGGAATGATGTAGCTTGGGGCATATTGAACATCCTGAGCGGTTCGGTTGGTTTTAGATGGTATGCACTCAAGCTCAAGCGACATACCATTTTTTCCATCCGTCGTTTCAAATCTTTCCGTCATGCTCGCGAGAGAAGAGTTGGACACACCCTCCTCAAGCGACTGAAATGATAGAATCCAAAAATTTTTTTCCGCGCACAGGAAAAAGGGAAAACGAAAAGGAAACTAGCGGGAAACCTCTTGTACGTTCGTATTAGAGGAGTGCTCAGCTGTTTTCTATTTAGGCGCGTTTTTAAGTGCCCCGAAGAAAGTGGGCACCGTTGAAATGAGAGAACTTGCACACAAAAACAACTACCATTTTTGAGAAAACTACACTACCGCTAAAAAAATAAATTATAGAATGACGATTATCGTCCTCTATGCTTTGACATCAGAAGCAGTAAATAAGGGTGTCAAGGATTAATCTACTTTAAACATTTTAGGCCTCTTTCTGCCACCCGTTGAGCTGGTGCGCCATTTGAACGCATTGCCACTAGTATATTAGAATTCTATAGAGGCGGGTTGAAATAAAAAATGCTCCCTATCGGCTGAGCGCCTTAAAGAGAGGGAACAAGGGAGATAAAACGTAAAAACGGCGACACCTAATTTTGAAAGACGTAAAAATTTAATAAAATATTTAGGCTCAGACCGCTCGGAGTTTCAGTGAAGAGCTTACTGGTGTACAATACTTACACAAGTGCTTTTATTTTGTTGACACTAGGTTCTGCGAGACGTCTGTCATCAAAAAAGTCCGTGTACTTTTTAAAGCAATCATAGTAAGTGCGAATACATCTTTTGGTGTCGTCCATGTTGTAATAGCAAGCGAAATGGAACTGTATAAGCCTCTTATCTGTGGAAAAGATGAGATTTTGTTACAAACGCGCAGATGAAAGTAAAATGAGAGGTAAAAATATGAGATTTTAGCTGTGTTTTTATTGAAAATATTTTTTTGTTTGTTGACACCGTGATCGTTGACACCATGATCAGGGCCCATTTTTGCGTTTTTCTGCCTGAGCGCAACATCAACAATTGTTGACTCCATGATCAGATTTTAGGTTTGTTGACACCATGCAACGTTACCACCGAGTGGACCCTATTTCAGATAAGTTTACGCTCTCCATCTGCTTGCACTGATATCATATGGACTACATTTTGCAGTTAAGAACTATAAATTCTAGCCCGGTTTAAAAACAACGTCTGTGCCATTAGTTTTCCTCAGCACATAAGTGTTTTTTCAGATGAGCCAGACTTAATAGCTCCAAATTGCAAAATGCAGTTCATATAGTGCTTGCTGCGCACCGACAAGCAAGAGGAAAGGGTAAAATTTCCTTAAACTGAGAACAAAAATTGCTAGGTATAATAATGTTCTTAGTAAAAGAGCTATCAGAGAGAAAATTCCCGAAATGTGGTTCTACGTAGGTAATGTTGTATTGTAGGTAATGTTGTATTGTAAATAATGTAATAGGATAGCGCTAAGTTCACACTATTCTGAGCGGTAATCTAAGCCGAAAAGATGTCAAAAAATTGAATCAGAGATTAAAAAAATTGTAAAAATAACATTCCGGGATGCAAATTGGTGATGACCGTCAAGGTTGCAATGCATTCAGAATAAAATAATGTAAACAAAAATTGCATCTCGGTTTGTTATTTTTACAATTTTTTAAAATTTTATAGATAATCATTTATGCATTATGCATTTTGAAAACATCAATTAAAAAAGATCGGAATTTATGAGAAACTAGATGTATAATGGGCATTTGAAAACATTGACCTTTGGAATATGATGCCATCAGGGACACTGGGCATTGTGACTGTCTGTACCTTTTTGTGTTTTGAAACACTTTACTCGTGCACTTGAGGTTTTAAAAGCTATCATCAACAATATGATTCATCTGTAAGTCCTGTGGGTGCTTAAATAAAATAAGCTGACAAAATTGTTTAAGATTGAATAATTTCATCTTTATAATTACCGGGAATGTTTGGTAGTTCTGGGCTTGATCTGACAAACTCTCGGAGCTCTTCCAGGTCATTTACTGGGAAGTCAGGCTCCTTGTTCAATTCGTCTTGACTCGTCCGAAGTTCCATCTTGTTCTTGATTTTCTGCAATCAGACATTTCAAACATATTAATATTATTGCAAAATATCATTAAAGCTTAAAAGTTATAAATCTTGAATGAAGTTTTTTTTTCTTCAATTCCAAACCTCATTAAAAGGTTATTTTAAGCAGGTCTGCACACGTTTGCGTAACCTTTCAATAGGACATAACATAGCTCGTATGATTTACTCAGACTTCCTGGATGTCTTCAGGGGAAGAATTTTAGGTCTTGCAAGCTGGCAGTTACTTTGTTTACCAGTTTTCACCGACATCAGTTCTTTTTTTAGACTTTAAAGTTTCTTAGAAACGATCGTAGGAGTTTCCCTTGAAAGTAACGAACGATAAGGTCAAAGTGACAAATTATTTTTCTCTCATGGGTACATGATTATCGTAGCCTGAAATCATAAAGTTGTTATTTGTACTTTTCCTTTTTTTTCGATATCTACAATGGTGAATAATACTTGATTCATCATATATGCATCAACATGGTGCCTACTTGATTAAAAAAAAAATAAATAAATGGAAAAATCCAGGAGATAAGAAAAACTACTCAGAAGACGGATAGGATAATTTTCTGCCAAAAACTCTGTTTTGAAAAAAATCCAACTCGGCACCTTTCCAAAATAGGCAAGCGCTTCAATTGATGATCAGAATTATAAAAAAAAGTGTTTGCGAGAGAAAGAAAAAAAGAGCCACAAAAAGTTTCAGTATAAAGCACTTAAAACCCACAATGGAACTTTCCTTTGCTCTGAAAGCAGCTTCAATAAACAAACCATACATACTGGTATAAGCTATTGTTATGACCTACACAAAAAAACGCAGGAAGCTGTCCAGTAAGAACAGTATATAATAAATCTAACGTAGGTAAAACTTTTTTTTTGTGATATTAAGTATTGCTTGATTCTGGGGATTGAATTCTTTAGCACCGATAATCGCCTATGTAATAACATGCAATCTTAAGATCAATTGTTCCATGAAATTTTGGAGCTTTGCAGCAATAATAACCTCGCGGAAATTTTCGTGAGATTCCCGTTCTCAATGTTTCAAGTAAGTAAATTCAATTTCCTTGGCACGCTAATGTCCAGCTCTGATTTACATAAAGAACAAATGTAGCGTGCGAAAAAAGTTTCATTGTGCAAATTAAATCCTTAGTCTGTTCGACCTTTATGCAGTGGCTGACGGTTTCCTCCATCGCACAATGTCATTGTCAAGTAAACGTGTACGCGTTATTTTGCTCGCAGGTGCATACTCTCACGCTGGTTGCGGCCATTAAGATTGAAGGGGTTTCAAAAATGCCATGTCTCGCAGCACCTTTATCAACATTCAGAATTCTTCAGCTTTGTCGGTCAGTTTATCCATGATACTGGCAACGTGCCTTTAGTTTAAAGACCAGTTCTTTCAGAGATCTATGGCATTATCTCTAAAACATACATAGAAAACTGCCACTTGTTTCTTAAAACGAGGGCACAGAGAGATGGTCTGGATCAGTGGCGTGGCTTCACTTGCGATTTATAGATTGTTCTGCCTTTTAAACCTACGGAAAAGGATCGAAAAACAAGGTGTTTGCAACTAACATCTTAATAATCGGTTCTTTACCATAGTTTCAAGTGGGGAAATAGCGACAGTCGATCATTCATGCTTCGTCACTGGTCCGGACCCTTCATACTCCCGCATCGATAAATCTCGATAATGGTACATACACCCGGTGTTAGCGATCCATTTGAAAAAAAGGATATGCCAAGATTCCTAACGAGTTCTTTCCTCCGTTGATATATATGGATTTCCTCTTGTTTTTGCGCCGAGTTCTGACCCAACCTCTACTATATTTTGAACTAAATCAGGGTAGCTTTTCTCGAAAGAGCTTATTCCTTTAAACTGTGGTGCAGCGATGCTTAACCCAACTCGCGGTAAGAATTAGTCCTGCACGAATTGTTCAAATTAATAAGTCACAATTTCTTCGATATTTTCACAGAGGTCCAAGGCATAGCTTAACATTTTAAAAAAAGCATGAAAAATTCCATCTAAATATTAGATTTGATCGATTGACTTGACGATGCGGAAATTTTTTTTTTTTTTTTTTTTTTTTTTTTTTTGCTAACAGTTCGGCAGTTCACATTAAAAAATCTTTTTCTCAAAACTCAAGATGTCGAAACTTGTGGAGTATTATTATTGTACTAAGCCATTTTAAGTTAGGAAGCAGGAGGGGTAAAAAGGTCAAGGACCTGCTTTTGCATGCTCCTCAGACTTTTCTTAAGGATTGAACTTGATTTTAAATTAACGAAACAAGCTAAGCGGAGGATGCTTGAGGTGAAAAGCTCTCGGCGTGACCTCTAGTGGCGTGGCGTACTTTGCGATACATCAATTGGTGTACCATTTAAGCCCATGGGAAAGGGTCGATAAACAGGGTGTTCGCAACGAACACCTTACTAATCGATTCTTTACAATGGCTTCAAATGGGATAACATCGATAGTCGATTATCACACCCCTCGTAATACCCTCGTCATTATTTGAGCAAAGTTTCTCGAGGAAGGATCAAAAACCACGGGATACAAGAGTTCTACTCGTTGTTAGCTTGACAGAATTCCTATAAGACGTAGTGTACAGATAGATTTGTACCTCGTTCCTTCCTGTGAGTCAAACTGTCACCAGTGTGACAAAGGAGTCGACTGAACACCCCCCCCCCCCCATCTCACACTCGGTAACTTATTTTAGCTCTCTTCTCATCAAAAAGGACAGAGCAAAATAATGACGTTCTCAGAATAGTGATCATTATTCGACGAGATTAAATTTTTTTGCCACCGATTACGAGAAAAATTACTATAAGTGCATCACAAAGGAACCGCCCATACTCCTCCCATTTCGAAGAAGGGCCCAGTCGGATTCTGCTTGAAATTGAGCTTTTGTCGGAAAGGTTATCCTTTTTTGGCTCCTGTGTAGTTTTTCTTGTTTTCTGCAACTTTTTCATTTTCCAGAGTCGGCATACCTTTTCGAAATAAGCGCCTTTAACGAAGACAGACTTTTTTTTTTTTTTTTTTTTTTTTNTTTTTTTTTTTTTTTTTTTTGACTCCATCTCCAATGTCGGATACAAGTCCGGAAGCCATGATAAATCTTAAAAATTACGTCAATTTTGGGTCATCCCTTTTTTTCATATAATTCACGAAAAATTGGTGCACGGCACTGCGCCGTTTTCGATTATCAAAATCTTGAACATTTCTCAAACTTCTCAACTCCTGCCTCGGGTCGATCTGAGCCCGGCATCAGATTCGGCTTGAACCTCCTCCCGCATCTTAGGGCACCCCTTGACGCCTATCGCCCCCCCCCCCCCCCCCNCCCGGGGACTCTGACGACGCGACAGTCCTTAATTTCATCGATTTGTCAAAACAAAAAGAAAAGGTAAAAATGCTAAAATAGACTTAACACAGGACAATGGTCTTTAGTATCCAAGGTTGGAATGAGAAAGAAGGAAACTTCTTTCACGAGGCTACCCGACCTGAGTATAAAAATACTTCGTATCGTTTGTGAAGTCTTCGGCGGTCAGCGTGACGTCAAAAGCAGTGGCCCATTCATTGAATGGTATTTAGAAGCATCCTGAATATTTGTCCACCGTCACAGATTCGTTGAGGCGCACAGCCAAAATCGATAACTTGTCAAGTTCAGTTGCGTAAAGCGTTCATCAAGCGTTCAACACACGTTTACCGCAGTCCATCAACTGCTGTTGTCATTGATACCCCTGAATGACAACAACCCTCGATACGTGTGTTTTTCCCGACATCATCACAAGAAAGTTCTTCCAGACCCCTCATTTTTATCACCGAGTATAATTTAGCTGGGAATGACTTACTTATATTTCTGATATTGTCATTAATATGAATTACTGGACGTGCTTAAATGATCAAAAGCACTAATAATTGTGTTGTCTGAGTTTATTTAAAAATTTTAACATCTTTTGATCATTTCGAGGATGACTGTAGTATCTAAGGATTGCTTGTACACAGTTCACTTGTTGTACAGTTCACTTTTAGCATCATAACGCCGATTAAATGGCAATTTTGAAATCACGAGCATCCATGTAATTTTTCTAACTTCAATCGTTTTTTTCTGAAGATCGATACGATTTCTCTTAACATGTACATGCCTCTAAGCATTGACACTTCAATTGAGGATGGAGAAAAATGAAATTGCTGATTTAACAATTTTGTATAGTTAAAATAAGTGGCCAACATGTTTAATGTAGAATTTACAGTTAAAAACGCAAATTTAACCACGGGGGTGGTTAAATTAGTTTCCGATTATTGTAAAATGTATAGCTGAAACATGTTGGACATACTTTTTAACAATTTAGTTGTAAAATCAGCTATCCATTTTTTCCCGTGGGGCTTGAAAGACAATGCGCATAAGTGCAGTTTTTGAGAAATTGAGATATTACACCGGTAAAAATTGGCGATAAGAGCTGTGTTTCAAAATACCATAGGAATTCTTACAGCCGGCTAAAGAAGGCTGCAAAAAATCATATAGCTAGCTGTAGAATGCGGAGAAAATCATACGACCGGGCTATACGAAGCGAAAAAAAATTATGCAGCCGGGCTACAGTTCCTATCGCTGGGCTTTACACTTTATCGCCTGGCTGTTGTTTTTTCGGCATCGATTATAAAAGGCTATAAGAAATTGTGTAGAAATTCGTGTGCTTTGGAAATCATTAAGTCTGATACGGAACCACCTTAATATTTACAAAACACACATTATATTTTCCATTAATACATATTTTTTTTTCATCAATTAAAACGAGAATAATCCATGCAGGATGTGCAAACATTTCAAAATCATGAGTTGAATAACGCTGACTCCGCCAGATAAAATATTAGAGCCTAACACAAAGCGGAGCGGCGACGCACTGGCGCCTACAAACCTAACAGGGACACTTCACGCATTGCGCAACGCGTGGAGTATCCCTGTCAGGTTTGTAGGCGCCAATGCGTCTTTTGCGCTGGCTGCCCGCCTGCCACGGCGCTTGAAGCAACTATTTCACACCAGAGGTATTGCACAATATCATACGAAACTGAAGGCGCTCTAATATATTAGTAATGGCAGGCATCCATCAAAAATACGGAGCTTTCCTCGCAAAATGAATCAAGATACTACGGCCGAAAAAAAGAGAGCAGTATTCCAAAAACTCACCAAGTCCTATCATCCGTACTTAGTAACGTAGCTACACACACTTTATCGCCTGGTTGTTGCTTAGTCGCCATCGGCTATAAAAGGCTATAAGAAATTGTGTAACCGGCTATAGAAGCTATTGGAAATCTCACAGCCGGCTTTAGGTCTATAGTATTTTGGAACACACATTCTACAGCCAATTTTTACCAGGGAACATATAAGGAAAACATGTGGGTTAGTTTTTTCTCGTGCGACAACACATAGGTATGATCAAGGTACAATGAGCTTACGACGCAAGTCCTGTTTATAAATGTTGGCTCTCATAAATTTGGTGCTGCAGCTTTAAAGGGCAATATTTCAGGTCCACATATTTCAAGTGCTCCAGGAGAATTTTAATTCGGCCATTAATTGAGCTTGACTAACAATATTCGGAGAAATAATCATTGCTATATTTTGTGCCGATTTTCAATTTCCCTCGCTCTTTTCCTCTAACAACTAACCGGATTTGTCTCTGAGGTATCTATTCTTTCCGAACGGAAAATATCTTACGTAAATATTGAATCGCTCGAGAGAAATTTAATGAAAGACTGGCTGTTAAAATGCGTGCAATATCGATATTTTTATCTTCCGAGAAAAGTAATTAACAAAGTGAGTCAGGTATTTTCCATCCATGTTTTTAATAAAGAACAGAAAACGACAACTCAATTTTCTCTGAATTCATACTTTCAATTCCTATAATCAGGAAACCCGATTCACACCTGCAAATTAAAAGCTGAATTTGGTGATAGGTCAAAATGTCCAAAGCAAAATGTCCAAAAGTCAAAATGTCCAAACCCTGAATGCCCAAAAATTTAAAAAGGCCAAATATTAGTAATGTCCAGCAGACAAATAAGTCCAAAAGTAGGCAAATGTCCAAATGTGAGATTAGGCATAGGTTGAGTTGTCATTGGATTTTTTGGACCAAAAAGTTGCTACTTATGACCGAGAACATTGCCAAAGTTTCAAACTTCTATCTCAATCAGGAAAAAAGATACAGGGGTGGTAGGTGACTTTTGGATAACCCTGTACATTGACGCTGCTTAGAGCGATCGACTTGTGCTGCTGACACTGATTCGGACGAAGACATCTGAAAGCAGTCAGTATATATTTACTCTTTCCATTAATTTGGACATCGGCCTACTTTTGGACTTATTTATCTGGTGGACATTACTGATATTTGGCCTTTTCAGATTTTTAGGCATTCAGGGTTTGGACATTCTGACTTTTGGACATTTTATTTTGGACATTTTGACCTATTACCGCTGAATTTCCCGTTAGATTTCGTAGAAAGAAGAGGGCAAGAACTGAAAATTTTTTTAAGTGTCATATTTGAGTTCAAAATCACAATTGACTGTTTATTTAAAGGCGTCAGTCGCGAATCTCGTAAATTGACAACGCCGTTATTCATCCATATAACTCCATAACAATAATCGACTTTTGGTGAGGCACCCTGCCTCGCCTGGAGCAGTTGATGACGTCACAATTGGAATACTGATTAGCGACTCATCAGATGTCATACGTGCGATTTTTGCAATTGTGATTTGTCAAAGGTGCCTTAATCTCCTTCTGGAACCAACGACCTATGCGTAAAACCCGTATAAAAAATGAGTAAAAGACTAATAATGGATCTTTTTTCGAAATTAATCCATATAATTCCATCATTTCACCTTCAGTAGAAATGAAAAGAGAAGTTCCTACGTCGTAGGAATCGGTTCAATGACCATTGAATTCACGCCGACTTTTTTCTCTTTATTCTAAGGAATTAATTTGCAGACAGCCACCCAGTGAATCTAAGTTAGAGCTTCAATTTTAGCATCAGGTAAATTCCTGTGTAGATTTATTTTCGGCAAGCTCAAGGCACTTTAATTGTAACGACTCGAGCCATTCCTTTTTTCTTATGTCCATGTGTAGAATAATTGAGAAGCGGAGAGCCTCGCGTGTTAAAAAATTACTCTTCGAGGAAAATAAGCATCCACCAAACTTGAATCAATTTAACATAAAAAAACTCATAAAAGGAAGTATGTTTACAACTCTGCTTCTTCCTTCCAGAAGAAATAAGATCTCGTCTTTTTTACGAGGTACATATAATCTCAATGACAGGAACATTCGTAGCTCGCGAATTACCACAGGCAGTAATTAGTGCTCTAACGTTTGCTAATATGCACCTTTGAGAAAAACACTTTCATAAGTGCGAGTTTCAACTTAATGAGAATGTGTAAACCCTCATTGTGGGTATTAGGAGCTGCACTAAATCTAGTCATGCAGCAAGTTAATGTCTTTTGCCGTAAATTAAGTGCCTTGAAAAATAAATCAAGTCAATTGCAAAATCTAATATATTATTTCATGAACTCCTTCATAGAGAGAATTAAGTAAAGTATTTTTTGTGGGTTACTTTTTAAATTATTTACGTGCAGCCACAAAAAATCACTCGTTATCGCACAAATCGTGCCCCAACATTTTTTCCCCGTGCATGAAGCAAGCTTACGTTCGTGCATGAGCATGACCTCTCTGATATTTGCTTAATCCTCTTTCTTCTTCAAGACTAAGATATTGCATAATACGAGAGCTCGGCATTGTGTCTTTCTCTTAATTGTATGAAAATGGTGTTGTCCGGTGTTGTTTTGACGTCGCGTTGAGGATATCCTTTTAAAACGCATAGCTGCATAATTTGTCGTTTATTGTTTAATCGATACGAAAATTCAATTGTGAGTGGAAAATTTTGTCCAGCGTCGTAAACTTTTTCCTACTAAAAAATCTCAGTGGGTAATGCTGCCATTTAAGAACTTTATCTTTCCCCGAAAACGATTTACTGGCGCGAGGCTCAAGAGATCTCGTTTGCTCTTGAGCATCTAAGTGAGTCATGGGCGACATTTTCTATTCACTTTTTAAAGAGGTCAATGCGATTCCAACTCCGTTCTGGATGGCTCTCGACTCCTTACTCTTTCCATATAGTTCATTGAAAATTTAGATGAGATGACACCGCGATTTCAGATGGGAGCGAATAGTAGAATTTCCTGTCTTTTCTCACGGAGATACTAGAAGGTTCGACTTTGAGATTTCATTCTGTGACAAAATTTTAGACTAAGTCCCTTAGCCCCATGAATTGGATGATCTCCTTGTAAAATTAAATTTAAATACTAGGGGTGTCGTTTAAAAGGAGCCCATGTCTATGAAGGTGTGCTTTGTGGTATATCACAATACGCTGAGCAACAAAAAAATTAGATTTCTTTTAGTCCCTCTTTTTAGAGCAAGGTATCATCACGCTGCTGAAACTGCCGATTTTACGATTTGGATTTAAGTATGATTTAGGCATGATATTTGCACGAGTATCTCATTTCAGTTTTTGCCTTTCGTCTTGCATTTTAGCAGTCCCAGACTAGTGTAGTACCTTGGAAAAAGAAAAACGGGCTTTTAGAGTATCAGCAGTCTTTTTTTCTGAAAATTGAAATTTTACTCACGGCTCCCATCGGAGAAATTATCGAGCTACGAGAATTCTTCCAGCTGAAATTTTGCAAATTTTTTCTCGTAGTTTTGACACAGGATTCGAAGATGCTACCTCCACGCGCTTAACTAGGTCACTTCACAAAGCTTTTTTCGATTCCGTTTCAATCCGTGATCGAACTTGCAATGCTTGAAAAGTTCACTGTTGCAGCGTGTCTTGGGACCGCAACTAGACCGTAACACTCCGAACCCCACAAAAGCGGAAACGTGGACACTCAACTCTGAAAAAGCGTATGCGAGAGCAGACGCTTCGAAGCGACAAAATAACGCCACGCCGAGACGTTAACGCAAAATAATCCGCACGGATGAAAACTGCAACGATGCTCCTCAAATTATTCGAATCCACTATCTGGACGCCAGACGCACTCGCCGTACATAGCGTCGTGGATCGGTTTCAGAAAAAAAGGACCCACACGACACACGTGTTTCCTTTCGGGTTGTAAAGTTGGAACGTGACTATCAACACAACACAGGAACCGAGGTGTCACGAACTCGGAATTAAAGGGTGCTGCGCGAGGGAGGGGGGTGTATGAGGCAGGGAAGCGCGGCGGGAAACCTGACAAGTCCGATTACCGAGTCGCCAAAGGTCATTAGCTTCGATATCGTAAAAATGGTAATAAGCTTTTGTCGTCATTCATCGAATGCGCTGATTGTGGGTCAAACTATGAAGCGCCGTCTACTCTAGTTCGCGGAATAAACAACTAGCGGCAAACTTGTTTAGAACGAGCCTCGGTCGAAGGACGGACGTATGGTGACTAACACGAACGCCGAGAAGCTCTTACGGGAAGGAAGGTCTCTAAGCCAAACCTATCCTGTCCTATTACTTTGGAGCTCCCATTTGAACAACGGAGGGTTTGCGCGCAAATTTTTTTGCGTTTCATCGATGAAAATGCAGAAAGAGCCGATTTTGCATTATTTTAATTTTACAATTTTCATGATTAAGGGAGTTATTTGTGTGTCTATATGGTTAGCTGCCACCTTTTTCTTCAGACCGCTTCCATTGTTGCCGTGTTTAGACTTTGTCCGGGGGTGGCTACCGCCACCCATGATAATTTTTTTCTTGGTATGGGAAAAAGTGTAAATATAGATTTCAAAGTGAGAATATGCACTGCTTATTGATGTAATCAGGCGGCATTTTCCATTTAAATATATGCTTATAAGCAGATTAGATGATTTTATCATATAACTCCGCCAATACCTGATCTATTCATGAAGTAAAGTATCCTCGTGTTCAGTTCATTTAGTAGTTTCTACCTAAATACGAAATCATTAAATTTCAGGCACATGCACATTTTCCATTTGCCAGGCTCTAAAAATTAGGAGACTAAAAAATGTAGAATTTTCTTTCATTATGTCCAGAACGCGGGACCGTACAATTTAAAATTTAATAAAAGAATCAAAAAAGAAAAGCGGTCATGAGAAAACTAGTTTGGATCCGCGCTGTGCTCTCATATGGGTGTGTTTTCATTGTTTCCCAATACGGTGACAAATACGAGTATTTTAATCCTCCTATGACATTTTCTTATTTTCATTTATAAGAATTTTAAGGCATTCCCGCGATATTTGCGAGAATTTAAGCTATTAAAAGCAAGTGTATTGGCATTAGGAAGAGTGTTTTAAAGTTGATACGATGAAATTTTCACTTCTTGACAACGTTTAAAGTCAGAAAAATGAACAGACCCGCGCACGATGATGATAGAAAATTTTACCACAGCAAAATTTTGATTAACCTTCCATTTTTGGAAATACCTAGTTATATTTTGTACTTAATTTTGCACTAACTGGCAACCACGTATTCGAAAACGGTAATCATTTCTTAAAAATCATAACAGCTGATAAAATGAAATCTGTGAAAGTTACTGTGACAATTTGTTTAGACAATCCTACCCATTTAAATTACAAGGACTCACTTAAAGTGCAAAAGTAAAAGGTCAAAAAATATGAGTAATCAATCTTCCGAGAACCCTATAAGCCGCACCCTTACTGAACATATAAAACCTCAAAAACAGAACTTTAATAAAAAATTGTCATATATCTACTCTCTTGATACCCTGAAGAAAATTTTAATCCAACAAGATACACGAGAGCCAATAATAATTGCCGGTATCTTCTTATTTTCCCATCATAAAGTTCATTAGTACACTAGTTAATAATAACTTCATAAGAATGCGTACAATCTGAAACAAACTGGGTAAACTGGTCAATTAGTATGCTGTGTGCATCCCGCGTCGAAGACACCTTGCGCTGTGCCTGTATATGGGTAGTGACCTTAATAAAATGAATGATGTGACAAATTTTATTGTGAGTAATTTAATTTAAAGTTTAACTCTCATCAACTCTCAAAGCCTCGCTTTAATAAAGTTTAGTAAAGTATATGCAGCTCGGGAAGCTACATCCTCTGAATTATGTCGAAAATAAAGATGGAAGACACATGCAGGACATTTCCAAAAGCTATCATTTTGCAATTAAGAACTACGATTTCTGGCTCATACGTAAAAACACTTATGTACGTAGAGAAGCCCATAGTACATACGTTGATTCTAAACTCAGTCGAAATTGTAGTGCCGAATTGCAAAATGTAATCCAAATGATCTTTTAATTCAATATTGAGGCGAGAATGTAATTCCTCGTTTTTAATTTTTCCAATGAATATAGCTCTAAAGGGTTTTTACTGAAAATCAGGACCGGATTAAGGGGGGATTAAGGGGGTAAAGGGGGCGCCATGGGCCGCGGCACATGGCGGGGAATTTAGGGGGCGGCAAATTTTGCAATTTTTTTAAATGTAGCTATAAAGAAGAATCGGATTCAGAAAAAAAAAAAATTACAAACGAGAAAAGGTGACAAAATCCCTCATTTCCTAAGAGTATATCTATAATTTTGTCGTCCCTCTGTGGTACAATAGACAGCACCTTTAATTAGTCGAGTTAAGACTAAGAGAGAAACCGAACATGGAATTTGGCCTAGAACGGCGCGGCGCAGAGACGAGATCGTGAGATGAAAAGGAGAAACTCTCGGCGCGGCGGTCGCCATGTGACACATATTAGCGCCTACAAGACTGTGTGAATACTTTACACATTGCGCCAAAGACAGTGCGGTCGCTGCGGTCAGCAGCGGGCAGCGCGAAACGCGTAGCGCCTACAAGACTGCATGAATACTTCACGCATTGCGCCAAGCACAGTGCGGCCAGCGCGGCGCGGCGGCGGAAGTTGAAATTATTAAACCACATTTATGTTTGTTCTTTCATAATGTTTTGGATCATTTCTTATAAATGGAGGGCCTCGTCCATACAGTGATAGGTTTACGGAACTTAACTTTCGCGCCAAGTTCCGTGAACTTTTGCTAGTAGTGTTGACAGGGCTTTCGCAAAAAATGTGACCAATACAAGTAAACGCGTTTTATACGCCTCTCTCCCTCCGGCACGTTCATTTGATGGTTTTTATTAATGTTTCAAAACGAATGAGAGGGGGACGGCAAAATACAGGCGGCCCATGGGAAGCAAGTAAGTAAATCCGGTCCTGCTGAAAATGACGAATAAGTCATTTTTTAAAATTCATTTTCTGAATTAATTTTTATCTCCATCATGGGCAATCCTCAAATGAGAGAGAAAGAGCGCAATTATTTTTTCATTGAGTTACCGGACATTCACTTTCCGCACATACGCATGTAATTACACCTTATTCTCTCTCTGCAACCAATAGCTGGATAATAATAATAGTCTGTACTTGCATTTGTAGCTCTAACGATCTTTCATTCATGGAATATTGAATCTCTATCCGTGTAGCTCTGAATTTCGAGAGAAAACAACTACCTCACGTACTTCCCGAATCTTTGTACTCTTTTCTTTCTCCGCGCCAATTTTCAACCGATTGCAAGCACTTGGCTCCATATCTGGTTTCATACCCACTGAAAACACGTGTGCGCTTTTCTGTTCAAAATTTCCTTTATTTGTCATATTACAATGGTCATATCCGGAACTTGGAAACCACGTTTTAGTTCGCGATATTACAACTCTTTATCACACCTCTTCCATTTTTCAGCTGCCTATAAGTAGCAGAAAGCAATGAAAATATTGAAATAATTTTGGAATTCAATGCAATAAATTTGCAGATTTTTCACCACAAAATTGTAATATTTTTACCTGATTTGGTCAATTGATGCCGATTTTAACGATCTATAAAATGCGCTCTATAAGTGGGTAATAAGGGCAATTTGCAATGCAACAAAATTACAATTTATTTATATTTTATCGTAATAAATGTCAATGAGAGGAGCCCCTTCAATCAGTGAATAGGCAACACACAACACTCCAAATGGGGAAAAATCCGAGAGGCTCCTTTGAAAATTTGTGATTTTTTTCCTGCTTGAAAATCTACTCGCCAAAGAAAACTTCAGAAAGAATGGGGAAAAAGCGGGGTTGAAATTTTTGATTCACTACAATTGAGACATTCACAATCAGTTCAGCCGCCAATATAATTTGAGTTTGCATTCAAGCCTAGCTTGAGCATAACATGAGAAACTCAAGAACGAGCACGTATCACAAGAGTGCGTAAAATTGCATCGGTGTTTTTCGATCACCTACACATTTGTTTTGGCGAGTAAACTGAGATCAGGATAAACACAGGTTCACCTCGTCACTGAATCAAGTGGAGCTATGAGGCAGCGTATAGCAGCGAGATCGCGTATGAAACCTCCATTAGTATAATGACACCTGACCTCATCGCATAAATTAAACAATGAGGCAGAACAACTATTTTCCGCGTCTAGCTCACAATCAATTTAGTATAATTTCATAGGTCCTAGTTTCCCATTTTTTGTACGATTTTTTTTTGCCACATTCTGTGACTTTGTCGAAGTGCAAATCTGACAGCACGTGAAATTTTTTTATTCACCGGTTTGGTCTCGTGGAGAACGTGTTAAAGTTCTACAAAAAAGTCGAAGATAAGTCATTTTCGCTTTTTTTTTGCGGTGCGGCAATAATGTTTAGCCATTCACCCTCCTTTTTTTCTACGTGATATTCTGACCAAATATGCGGTGAGCTTGGCAGTGACGAAAACACGTTGTGAAAAAACCTACAGTTTGTTCGCTAGTTTTAATATTACCATCTTTTCTCGTATCTGGACCTGAAAATTCGAATTTTATCAGAGAAAATTTGGCAACGTCCAAAAGTACATTCACATTTTTTCATGGACAGTATATTTTAGCTTATCGGCGACTTCTTTCCGTAAGGGAGCGACGATATGGCTTTGCAAGCCGCTCGTCCAATCTTAAAATCTAATAGCAGACGCCATCATAGGTCCGTCTTGGGAAGCTATTTGAGGATCATCGACGGTCAAAATAGTTATCTCGTATAATAAGTTCACCGAAAAAGGAAATGCAGTTTTGACCGTAGTTTCATGTTCCACCGGACAAACTTTTTTGTAATATCGTGAATTGTAT